GGTTTTTATATATTGATCTTGTATTCTGCAACATTGCTAAACTTGTTTATTAGCTCTAATTGTTTTTTTAGTACATTCTTTAGGATTGTCCATATATAAAATCATGTCATTTCTGAATAGATATACTTTTATTTATTCCCTTCTAATACAGGTGCCTTTTATCTTGCCTGATTTTACTCTTGCCTGATTGCTCAGGCTAGAACCTCAAGTACAATGTTGAAAAAAAAGTAGGGAGAGCAGAAATTCTTGTCTTGTTTCTGATTTTAGGGAAAAGGCTAAGTATGGTGTAAGCTGTGGGTTTTTCTGTAGATAACATTTATCAGGTTGAATAAGTTCCCTTCTGTTTCTAGTTTGTTGAGTGTTTTTATCGTACACAGTATTGGATTATAACAAATGCTTTTTCTGCATCTATTGAGATGATCATGTTGATTTTGTCCTTTATTTTATTGATATGGTGTATTACACTGAGTGATTTTCATATATTGGGCCAATTTTGCATCCCTGGTTATAAATCTCCCTTGTTCACAGTATATCATCCTTTTTATATGTTGTTGGATTCAATTTGTTAGAATTTGTTGAGGATTTTCGTGTCTATAAGATATTTGTAGTTGTCTTATATTCTATCTATATGGTTTTGGTCTCAGATTAATACTGGCCTCATAGAATGACCTGGAGAGTGTTCCCTTTTCTGTTTTTCGGAAGAGTTTATCAAGGATTAATGTTAATTCTTCTTTAAATGTGGTGGAATTCACCAGTGAATTAATTTGGGCCTGGGCTTTTCTTTGTGGGAAGTTTAAAATTACTAATTCAACATCTTTACTTGTTGTAAGTCTATTTAGATTTTCTCTTTCTTCTTACTCTGTGTTAATTGTTTGTGTTTTTCTAGGAATTTGTCAGTTTCATCAACGTCTGATTTGTTGGCATACAGTTGTTTGTAGTATTCCTTATAAGCATTTTTATTTCTGTAATGATATTTGTAATTTGATCTTCTCTCTTTTTTTCTTGATAAGTCTAGCTAAAGTTTTGTCAGATTTGTTTATCTTGGGCTTCCCTGGTGGCGCAGTGGTTGAGAGTCCACCTGCCAATGCAGGGGACACGGGTTCGTGCCCCGGTCCGGGAGGATCCCACATGCCGCGGAGTGGCTGGGCCCGTGAGCCATGGCTGCTGAGCCTGCGCCTCCGGAGCCTGTGCTCCGCAGCGGGAGAGGCCACAACAGTGAGAGGCCCACGTACTGTAAAAAAAAATAAATAAATAAAATAAAAATAAAAATATGCTTTTAAATTGGTAAATCTAAAGCTCAGTTGGGTGAAGAGAAGTGGTAGGGAAAAAAATTTGAAAAGTAAGATGGGGCCAGATTTTACAAGCCCTTGACAGTCATTTTGCAGATTCTGAATTTAGCTCAATAAATATGGGAAATTTGAAAAACAGAACAATGACATGATCAGAACTATATATTTTTATTGCCATGTAGAGGATTAGAGAAATTAGAGACCAGGAGAAAAATGAGGAAGAGCTATTGCCATGGTCCAGTCAAAAGACTGATAGACTTTCTCAATTTGGAGACAGACAGAGAGAGAGATTGTCAATCACAGGTTGGGCCTTCTGGAAGCAGTTGCCAAGACAGGGTTTGAGGTGCAAGATATTATTAACTAGGGGGAGGAAGCAGGATTGAATAGAGGAAGAAATCAGACTGTAGTGTAGATCCAACAAAGACCCAGCCAACCTGGTGAGGACCTCTGGAATGAACACAGCTCATCAGAAATACAGTGGGTCAGAATGGCTGAACCTTTATACCCCCTGCTTCGTTCAGGCACTGGATGAAGACAGCCCCAGGATGAGCATGACCTTGTGCAGGACTGTTCTCTTTGGGTGAGGCAGACCCTGAAGGAACTGAAGCAGCTAGAGGCTATCTGCTGACTATACTTCCTGTAGCTGAATAGCACGTCTTTCCTTGAAGGCAGAACTGGGTGGTACACCTCTGTGCCTACCAGAGAGAAAGAGATGACTTATGACATCTTGAACAAAAGCAATAGAGTGGAAAGGAGGGAGAGGATTCTACAGCTATTGTATTTTATAGGTTGGGATAAAAAGGGAGTAAATAAAGGTTAACAGTGGGTCTCTACATTGATATGATTTGATGGTAATTCTGTTTAACTGAGAGTAAACAGAAGAGGGAGACCAGGTTTGGGGAGACAGATATGGAATTTCATTTTGAACATGTTGACTCTGAAATGTCTGCAAAATATTAAGGTCAAGATTATTTTCAAGAAGCAAGGCAAATGGGGGTGTCTGGAGGTCAGCAGCAAGGGCTATATTTATTGAGTATATATATATTACCTTATATTATCTCATTTAATACTCATAATGCCTCTATGAGATATTTAATATATTTTATTATACCTTTTGTTTATGAAGAAACTAAGACTTGAAGAAGTTAAATGCCTGGCTCATAGAGGTAAGACTCGAGCCTGTCTTATGACAAAACACATGCTCTCAAAGACACAATGACATTGTTTCCCCACGGAAACCACCACCCAGAGACAGTATTTGAAGTCATGGAAGTTAGTAGGTCACCAGAAAGGGTACAGTTTAACGGGGAACAAAGGGAGCCAAAAAAAGGAATTCTAAGAGAGTCAACATTTCAGAGGTGAATTGAGGAAGGTGACATAGGCAAAGGGATTGATTGAGCAGCCAGAACAGTTTTTAAAGATGAGAAGTATGCTATCTCAGAAGTTGGGGTAAAAAGAGAGCCCTAGTCCACAAAGTGAAATGTTGCAGATATCATGGAAGATGAAGGTTTCACAATTAGAGGTCATTGATGATCTTAGAGCAGTTTACAGAGAAGTCAGATTGCAGTGGGTTAAAGAGAGAATGGGTGGTGAGGAAGTAGAAGCAAAGGGTATAGGCTACTTTCCCCAAAGTTTTGCAAAGTGGAGGAAATAATAATGCTGTATACATAAGTAAGGAATTTTATTAATGTTATTATTAATTGATTAATTAGTAATTCCTTGCTCCCATATTACTTCGATTGCACACTTCCATCATTTCTCTGGTTATTTCTACCTCTATTGTATAATACCAGTGTCCCTTCCCAAGTCTAACATACCCGGAAGCACTGAATGTTGGTTGTTTGGGTTATGGATGACTTGTTTTATTTGGTTATGTGTTTTGAACGCCTCAGGTGATTCTGTCTTTGGAAGATGGGTGGGCCACAGACCACCTCCGTTGCCCCAACTCCATCATCTGTTTTCCACAAACATAGATAAGCATTCACTTCGCAGACCAGTTCAGCAAAGGTGCCAGTTCTTAGGTTCTTAGCAAACCAACTACCCTGTCTACCTAGGCTCCTCCCCTCCCCTCCCTCAAACTCTTGGTGGGCGGGTCTCAGAGAAGAAATGAGCTGCCATTCTAAATCTTCTGGAGTATAATGTCCCAGATGGAGAATCTGTACAGTTTTGCAGTGAGCTGAGATCTTCCTTTGCCAGGCCCCATCAGTCTAGCTCTTTTTCGGAGAGGGCTGGAGGGTAATTAACACCGCCGCCGTCCACCTGTGCACAAGAAGATGCCTACAGCCACTCCAGTGATGATGAAACAGCCCACCAGGATGCCCAGGACCAGCGAAGTGTACGAGCGGCCTATTTGGCTTCCTGCAGAACATGCGGAGAGTTAGCTTGAAGAACATACCCCCAAGGAGTCCATGGTTTGAATCAAACCCCAAGGGATTCCTTCCCCAAAGGAAGCGGGGCGGGGAGGGCTAGTTCACCAATTTACGGAAGGTGTGTGTACTCTGTCCCAAACCGCCAGCCTTGGGCCTCCTGTTGCTCAAGGTATCCATCCTTCAGGTCCACGCATTTGCCTGGAACCCACCCAACACACAGGACCCTCCCCGATCCCACCATACCTTTCGAGTTGTTCCCGGTGATGTGTTTCTGCACGTACTGCACACAGGTGTCCTGCAGAAATTCCCTCAGTTCGTACCGAGTACGATTGTACTTGTTGAGCTGCTCCAGGGCGTAGGTGACCACATTGGAAGGTGCCTGAGGCCCTGCCGTCCATGAGGCTGTCTTCGGTTGGAAACTCATAAAGGAGCTCCCATTCACAGCCACTTCGAAGAAGACATGGGCTTTCAAGCCCTCAGGAGGCAGTTCACATCCCAGGAAGCAGCGAATGGTCAGAGGAACTGTAGATGGGGGATTCAGGGTCAGGGGGCTATGTGGAAGGGTGTCAGGTGTCGGGGCATGTCCGCCAGGGGGAAGTGAGCTTTCAGGGTGCAGGGTGGATCAGGGACAGGGCCTCTTAACAGGGGCTACCCCGAGGTCATGCCAGCAGGAAGAGGGCCTGAGGGACAGTACAGTACGTCAGCTAGGACACCCACTCTTCTCCAGACTCAATCTCCCACCCAGCAATCAGCAAAGGCAAAAAGACCACGCCCGGCAAGGACACCCATCTCAGAACTTGGCCCCGCCCGGTTCTTCCACAGACCCTCCCCCCAGTTAGGTCCCGCCCATAGGCCGCGCCTCCCACCTCAAGGGCCCACCCTCGCCAGCCACCGCCCCTGCGTGCGTCACTCACAGGCCACGCCCCGCTCGTGGTGCACCACCTGCACCAGGCCCAGGAACTCCTGCAGGTAGCGATTCACACTGTTCTTTGTGAGAGCCCAGCTCTCGGGCTCCTGCAAGGGCTGCAGCTGTTGAATCGAGACGTTGTTGCCCGGGCCTTCCAGAACGTGCGTCAGGACCCCCCCCAGCGTCGCGTTGCCCCGGTGCCACACTTGAGAGGGGTTGCGGAAGTAGGAGACCTGGATCATGTGGAGGTACCGCGGGCCTGGGGGCAGGAGTCAGCGCGTCGGGCCCAGGCCGGCGTGGAAGGGGTCGGCGTGTAACCCGAGATAATAACTCCCCACCCAGAGGTCGGCCGCCCACCTTCTTGGCCCTTCCTAAACCATAAAGTGCCCTCCCACCCTTCCTGCCATTTGACTCTCTCAGGAACCCTGCCAGGAAGGCAGAACAGGGGTTATTATCTTTGTTTTTACAGATGAGGAAACTGAGGCTAGAAGTGCAGGAGCCACTTGCCCCAGGATAATCCAGACGGTCAGTGGAAGAGCCACTCTGGTCTGCTTTCTCTCTCTCACCCCTTCCTCCCCACCCCCCCATTTCCCGTTGGTTAACAAATCCTGACCTACAATGAAGTCCCAATTCCATCTCCTGTTCTTTGTCTCCTCTGCCACTGCCCCACTTCAGGCCTCAGTGGTTCTCATCTGTCCTGGAGTAGTAACTTCCTTCCTCATCCCCCCTCCACTCATCTTTCAGTCTCACCCCTTCTCATCTGCCCTCCACCTGGCCCAGAAATAAGAGTATGTCCTTCTGCTTAAAAATCCTCCAGGGACACAGTCCCCTATCAACAACAACAATAGTAATAGCCATTAAGTGCTTATTATGACCTGGGCACTGTGCTTTACATGCATCATTACCTTATTTGTGCCTTCCTTCCATTAACTTGATGTCGTAGCTACTATTACTAACCCCAGTCCATGTGGAAAACAGGTGAAAGTGGCATAGCAGAGTCCAGGTTAGCATGCAGGCAGTCTGAGCGCAGCACTCTTAGCCACTCAACTATACTGTCTCCAAATAGGATACCTGTCCGTAGAATCAAGTCCAAAGTCTTTAGCCTGACATTCAAGGCTGCCGGAGACTGGGCCCCACCTGCCTTTTTGGGCCTCTTCCCTATACTTAGATAGTACCTCAAAGTTCTTGGAGTCCATCATGCTGCCTTTCAGGTGACATGTGAATAGCATGCCAGGGTTGCTGTGCCTCCTGGCAAACTTCTGTTCATGTTTTAAGACCCAGCTGTTGCCCTCTCCTTGAAGTTTTCCTAATGCTTCTCCTCTTTACCCTCTCAGACACAGTGGGTCAGTTTCAGCGATCCCAGATTCTGCACAACTGTCTCCAGACACACAGGCTTCCATTCCTCTAGGCTATGGAATCATGTCTGGTTATCTCTGCCTCCTATACCCACTAAGGGCCTGGCATGGAGTTGGTGCCCAGAGAATGTCTGAGGGGGGAATGAGTCTGGCGTTGTAAATCTCCTTGGGGGGCATGTGTCTCGTCCACGTTTGCATCTGAGAAGTTGTGCTCTGTGTCTGCAGATGTGAACGAGTATTTCTGTGTGGGTCACCCCCAGACAAGGTTCTTAACTGCTTTGACCAGTCTCCTCCTTTGTAAAATGGAGATAATAATATCACGCACCTTGTAAAGATTTTGTGGGAGTGAAATGAGTCAGTACACGTATGAAGCATAGTGAGCACTGATTGAATACTGGTTATTATTTGCTCCCTCTCTGAGGGGGAGACTGAAGCTACAGAGGCTGTGGGAGAGGGGAGACGAGGCCCCTGTGCAATTACAGTGCAAGGCAGTAACTCCCCTTCCCTGCTTAAATGGAGCCACTGTGGCAGCCTGATCCCTCACAAGTTCCCCCATCAACCGCAGCTTGTCTCTCCCCTGGGTTTCCCCTCACCAGCTGCCCCCAGTCTTCCTCCACCTTCTCTAGTCTCCTCTTCTGCCTCACAGGTCTCAGCCCCAGTCTTTCCCCAAGTCTCCCGTCAGTTTTCCCAGTGTCTCTCATTCCTTCCATCTCTTGTCTCATCCCTAAGTCTCTTCCCATCTTCCCTAAACTCACCTCCATCCACCATCACCCTCAGACCTCCCTCTCCAGACTTCGCCCCATCTTTCCTCTCTCCCCACGGCTAATTCTCTCACCCTTTCTACAAGCCCCTTTCCCATTTTTCCAGTCTTGTTTCCCCCCAGCCTCCTGCATCTCCCCCTTCCCAGGGGCTGAACTATGCTTCCTCACCTTGGCTTTGGGACACGAACCAGTCCCCAGGACCTGCCTGCCCCCTGGAGAGATCCAGCCGGCTGCAGACACAGACACTGTGGGATAAGCTCCCCTGTGGTCTTGCCTGTGTACCCAGACAGGCTGAGAGTCTCCAGAACCATCCCGGGGTACGAGATGTGCCCTCGACTCACCATCTGAGGCTTCCTGGCTACAGAGGGCCCAGCAGGGCAGGAGCAGTAGTGGCAGCAGGGGCAGCAGTGTTGTCAACATCCTGTAGCTGAGGTTCTCGACCCCACCTGGGCTCTTGGCTCTGGCAGGCTGGGGGCTCCGGCTGACTGCAGCCTAGGGGAAAAAGAAGTTAGGACTGTCTGGGAGGGGAGGAGACTGGACGGAGGAGGCTGGAAGATGGCCAGGGCATGGGAAGAGAAAGAGGTCGGCAGGCTTATAAACTGTCATTCTTACCCAGTGTCATTTCCTACTAGGAGGCGGGCCTCTCTCTTTTCCTCCCTCT